CATTATGCATCATGGTGAAAAAGTGGCCTAAAGTTGAGAAAAAATAAGAAAATTTTCTATACTTAGAAAATTTCTAAGTTAGGAAAATTTTCAAACTTAAACCCTAATCTTCAAATTTGGATTTCTTGATGAACAAGTTTCACATTTTGACATGTTTTGATGAATTATGACCCTTGGCACTTGATTTTGACCAAAAAGTCAAAGTTTGACTTTTCAGTGTACAGTTGACTTTTGATCAGTTGACTGTAAATTTCATCTGTCAATCCAATGAATTTGAGATGTTTTGAGCCATGTAATTAATTCAAGATGATGTAATTGAACCCTTGAAATCATGCCTTAACTCAATTGGTCATTTGCTAGGTTAAAAATCAGAAATTGCCCTTCCTCAGTCAAAACCCTAATTTTGACCATTTTGCCCTTTTGATGATTTGATCAAATTTCTTGAGGAATTGTGATCCAAACTTGACCAAATGACACATGTGGGTCTAAATTGTTGATGTTGATAAAAAATTATGAAGTTTGACTGTAAATTGGCCATGGTTGACTTTTTCCCCAATACAGCTGATTTTTAGGTCAACTGTCCAATTAACTGAGCAAAAGTGTGATCCAAGGCTTAAAACTTGACATGAGTAAACCTGGGGTTCCATAATGATGCTTGAAAATAAAATGAAGCATTTATAGTCCAAAAATCTTTGTGCAATCTCAAACCCTAATTTTGGATCGTTAGTGCAAGAAGATATGCCTTGAGCTGACCAAATCCTAATCCAGTCTTGAGTTAAAGAAACCTTGTGAGAAAATCTTGATAAATGAGAGGGAAAATTTTGGGGTACAACACATGTAAACACAAGAGTCGTTGCTCATATTGTGTTATAGCTTAAGTTCTTCATTTAAATTGTTTGAACACAAGACTTGTTGCTCAAAATTGTGTTAAACAATATGTACTTAAATTAGGAATAATTTGCTTATTAAGAAGCACTTATGTAATCTCCAAAAAAACAGCTATGTTCAAAATTTGTTTTGACTCAAGTGATCTAGTGAAGATCTGATACTTGGGAAAACTTTCACTGTGGTCATCATGGATGAAATCCTGTTAAGAAAGATCAGGTTGGTTAGATTTCTTAAGGGGTCAATGATTGTTATATCTTGTGGAGATCACTAAATGTATCAGTGTATTATTCCTTGAGAGACTCGATTGAGTCAGGATTCTCAAGAAGGCATCGGTTGCGGTCTTTGCAGAATTGACAATAAGGATCAGCTGAACTTGTTGGGGTTTTCAGTAAGGTTAATTAGACTTATTATTGAGAATTGTAATCAAATTTGGTTATAGTGGATTAAGTCCTTGTTGAAGGAAAAAATCACATGAGGAGTGTGGACAAGATGTAGCCTAGTTAATGTTAAACTTCGATAAACTGAATGTGTCTCTTTATATTTCTAGCATTCTATATTCTTTCATAGTTTTATCAAATAGTTTTTAAAGAGGAAAAGTTTTGAAAACCCAATTCAATCCCCCCCCCTCTTGTGTTTTTCTTTACCTTCAATTGGTATCAAAGCCTGGTTCTATTATTGATTTTTGAATCAAATACTTAACCGTGTAGGGAGATTCAGAAAGATAAAAACTATGATTGTTATAGATTGAAATGTAAGAAATATGGATAAATTGAAAACATTCAGCTTTATTAAAAAAGGCATATTTTCTCATCTTCTATTAACATCACATGTGCATGGTCAAGAGAGTATAGAAAACCAACCTTATGATGCTCTTGAAGTCGCCTTGTTCACAGATTTGGATTCCTTAAACGTTCTTTGTAAACCTCTTGTGGATTTTCAAAATATCAAGGTTAACTATTTTGATCTTTTAGCTTATGTAATGAAGCATGGATGGGAAAACTACTTCAATCTTCTAAATGGACTCGTTCTTCCTCATCTTGTGAGATATTTTTGGATTCATGCAAATCATCCACCTACAAAGTAGTTTCGTTTGTTAAAGGGAAGAAAGTCATCATCAATGAACAAATCATTGCAAGAGTTCTTTATCATGATGGGAAAGGAATAAGATGCTATGAAGAAAATAGCAGATGGTTGGATGTGATAAAATTTTATCAAGCTATCTTCAAAATACAAAAGGCTTCGAAGACAAATGGTCTTCATCATAATCTAAGTATTTGGTCCAAAATTATTGTGTCAACCATGATTCAAGAATATCCAAGAAAATATGAAGCATGCATACTTGGATATCTTCTATATCTGTTGTACTTCATTTCCTCAGGGCAGTTGTAGTTCACCTCAAAAATGTTGGTTTGTTGTCTATTTTTTATGGGCGATGAGCCATTTTGAAATGGTTTTGAGTTACACCCTCAAGGCAAAATGCCACGTTTGATTTGTTGAATGTTTTTATCGGGATATATAGCAAATGGATCCAATTTGAGGGACACTCACTATTTCTATGCTTAATAGAAAAAAGAGTTTGCATTTTGAATCGTAATAAAGTCCGAAAATGGAAGGAAGAACAAGGTCCAGTCTGTACCACCTCATCCTATTCCATAAGACTCAACTGCATACGATTCACATCTTCATTCATTAAGTATTTTGAGTTTTTTGATTAAGAAAATATCTTTGTTTAAGATGGATGCAAAAGAAAGAAAAATCTAAGGGAAACTCAAGTCCTAGTTGTTATGCATCATGGTCCTAAAGTTTAGATCAAGGAAATTCTACCTAATTGTCATCATGCTTTGTTTTAAAACCTAATGTATAATTCTAATTCAATTTAATCAAAGATTAAAATTGAATTAAAACCAACCTAAGGGATCATGTCAAGGATGCAAGGCAAGCAACAATACTTCAAATTATTAATCACCAACTCATCAAGAAAAAAATCAAGGATGGGAAAATTCCATCTAGGTCTCTCATGTCCCTCAACATGCTTTTTGAAGTACCTAAAAACTGTCTTTATGGTCATCTAGTTACATATAACGTTTGATCGAAAATAAAGTACTTAACTCTATATCTAGGATCCATAGTGGTTTCAGGTCGAAGGGTGATATACACCATTATCACCATGAGAATAACTTATGACACATTGCATAATATTCTATGTTGTATTCTTATAGCCGGTCAATCCAATATAAATATTACTCCTAATATTCATACCTATGTCAAGACTTATAACACCTTATCCATGATCCATGAGGTGTTATCATAAGTCTATCTTCATAATAATCCCAATGCTTTAATGCGATCCCACTTTGCAATAAATCTTGACTACAAATACTTTAAGAATAATGTTCTCAGGTTTAATGGGATCTCATGATTAAGTCACACTTAACATTTCATTAAACAGACGAACTATTATAGGGAATTTATTATTTTGGAAAAGCAAACATAATAAAGAAATGCCTTTTATTATTAATAAATCATTCGATACAAGTACCAAAAGTATTGACCTCTAGGGGC